CCCCCCCCCCCACCTGTGACAAGCGGAAGGAGAACCGTCGCCGCCGGCACCACCGCGAGGGCGATGCACACCAGGGACCCCGCGGCATAAACCCTCGTCGCCTCCACCATGTGCGCTAATCCTCCCCTTGTCTCGTATCCCTCCCCCCCCTCATCCTCCTCCTGCTCCTGAGCAACTGCCCCCCAATCGTCCCCCTCCTCCTCTCTTCCGACCCCCCTGCCGACTTCTCCCCCCCCACCACCACCCCCCCCCNTCGGCGCCTCTCCGCCTACGCCATATGCATCATCACCACCACCACCCTCCTCCCCAACCCCCCGTTCATCTGCGGGGCCCCCTTCGTTATCGTTCAACTCGCCGTCGCCTGCCTGCTGCTGCTGTGCCCCCCCTCCGGCCGGTGGCTGAGGATTGTCAAGCACCAGAAGAGGCGGGATCTGCGGCGGCGGGGCTTGCGGCTGGGGTAGCTCGATGTCATCGAGGTCGTCGGGGTCGTTGGCACCAGCGCCTCGTCCTAGGGGATGGATTGCGCGCGATGCAGGTACGAAGAAACGAAATCAAGGAATGACCGTAGGTGGATAGATGAAGACAAAGTCGTGTGCAAAAAAATGGAAGAGCTGTACGGGAGGTAGGGTATATTGGCACTACATCTAGTCGTTGTAGACCATTGACCTCGCATCCCTACAAGGGGGGCGAGAAGGGCAGCGGGAGTGAGCGTGGGGTGTGTGTCCGTCGTGTGGTTCTTTGGGGAAGAGTGCTCAGCTCATGCCGATCGGTCTGCCGAAGAAACGACGCCAGTCGCAGTGGAAACAAACAAAAAAACTTGTCCGTACACGCATAATGACGTAGCCCGCGGTCGTTGTATATGTGGCGGGGATGGAAGGTTGACTCTTTGAGGCGTGTGTGGTGGCAAGTGAAACCACGAAGCCCAAGTGTTTTGGGCACGCGTCGCCGATCGACGGCGTCCCTGGCGGAAGCAAACAACCAACACTGACAGGACGAAAACAACCAACACTGACAGGATGAAAACAACCAACATGACAGGACGATCTCAGCAGCAGCAGCAGCAGCAGCAAACACAAGGGAGAGGGAACGCTCGGGCTGCCGCTTCAGGCAGGAGGTGAAGGCAGGACTGAGGAGACGAACGATCTGCTCCTTCCTCCCTTCCCCGGTTGCCAGGGCTTTTTTTTTTTTTGTCTCTTTCGATCCGCTTGGTTTTTCACGGCCATCGTCACGCCTTCCCCGATCTCAACACCACCACCAGCCAGTCAGCCCTCCTCTTTTCAGGCGGCGCACCGTCAGCGTGAAACTAGAACGGCGCCCGAAAAACAAAGCAAAAGTGGAAAAACAAAAAACAAAAAACACGGCGGTGGCAAGGTGAAGAACTAGAGTTGTGAATCGGAACGATGTACACGATATATATCGTCCGATATATATCGATATCGGTATCGAAAATTCGTGCCGATGTTCCGACCGATGTTTTCTTAGGGGCTCCGTGAATCAAATTTAGGGTATGCGCAGCAGTACGGAGCCCCTGTACGCCACACACACACAGCACAGCAGCGCAGAAACAGCAGACAACAGCACCATGTCCAGAACCAACCGGGAAGTAGACACAGGGAGAGACCGAAGGAGGGTACTGCTGAGGATACGCGACAATACATCAATCTTAATCTTTTTTTTTTTTTTCTACATTCCGTGCGATGTTTGCAGCTGAAGTCAAGCCCTTTTTGATGCCGCATTTGGGCCCATTTTGACGGGAAATGAAAGGAAAATGCACCAAATTTTCTGCCTCCGGCGGCGCCTCCGGCGAGGCCCCCTCACCAGCCGGGGGGGGCCGATGGGGGGGCTCGCTTCGCTCGCCCCCATCACGGCTCGCTGCGCTCGCCCGATATTTTCTCCGATATATCGCCTACGGCGATATATCGGAGAAAATATCGTTATATCGGCTGCTGCGCAGCCGATGTAAAATATATCGTTTTTTCGTACCGATTCACAACTCTATGAAGAACCGTCTCGTGGCGTGCCGGTTTCTTTTTCTATCGCCGCGCGCTCGAAAAAAAGGACGCAGGAAGAGGCCACAATTACTAGTGTTCTCACCCGCTACGAGTGCTGGGTGAAGGAGAAGCCTCCTCGTGCCGGTAACACCGCAGGCCGCCGAGAGCACCCAGCACGCTGCCTTTCTCACGGGCCCCCTGATCTTGAGGTGTTCCATCACCACGGGGAGGATGAAGTGGACGATGACCAGGTCCATTCCCAGCTGCGGGGCCCCCATCGGTCGGTCATCACCACGAACGCCGTGCGAGCAAATGAAACCGCGCGGGGGGGGGGG